TGGTCAAAATTAGCGACCGACTGCAGCTGCAACTGTATCAATGGGCTACTAATTAACTGGCCTAAAGTGCAAAACAAAAAAACAAAAAACTATGCATGTATGGGAAAAAAAGATGGCTGTTGTTGGTGCGTATGTGTGTGCGTGCATATACGCTATTTAGCCATTAGAGTGCGCGCCATGTTCTGTTTTCGTTAAGTTGAACAAAAGATTTGTCAACGAATCAATTGGAAGAGATCAGTCGCTGAGCTGTCGTTAAGTTGTTGAAGAAATGAACTCTTATATAGACAAGCTGGGAACAGTTTGTTATATTGTCGTTAAGTTAAAGATGAGCTGAGTTGGGTGTAGGAAGCAGAATTTTGCGACAGGCAGAAATGTTGTCGAAGAGCACCGAAAGTTTTCGTTAGGTAAAACAATAATTAAGATCAATAATAGTCAAGCATCAGATATTGCTCATATGATTAAGCTAATGAATTAGGCTTATGACTTGGATAATCATTGTGTCATTCAGACAAGTTGGTAACAGTCATATTAAGCTGAGTTGGAAGAGTTTTCGTTAAGTGGAGGCGCTGGCGACGAGTGTCACTGAGAGGAACAAAAGTTTTTGTTAGGTTATTGAGGAGCTAAATGATTCGTTGAGTCGAGATCAGCCCATAAACTGTAATTGAGTCGTTTGGATATGTTTGAGTCATTAAGCTGTTTCTGACTTGATCGAGGTAATTAGAGCTCAGCTAATGTATTGTATAAAACGATCCACTCAGGGCGAACTCTTCGAGCGAGAAGTAGAGCCTAATATTTGCTTTTTCGGATAGATTCCAGCGAGTCAATCGGAGATCAGCTTATGTATTGGGTTAGAAGTGTCCACTCAGAAGGAACTTTTTGAGCAAAAGAGCTTCAAAGTAGAACTTCTCGTGTTGAGCTTAATATACGAATCCAATCAATTTTAGGGCGCCAATCAGAGATCAATTAATTAGCTTTAATTGGGTCGATTAGTTGTTGAGCTTCAGAGACGTCGTTGTTAAAGAGAAAACCAATCAGAGTGGAGCGCAATGCTTTAAGCAAGCAAATTAATTAGCTACAGCAAACTCTTTGAAATGTAATTTTTACAAATTAGAAAATAAATCAAATAAATTGTAATTACAGGCTGCAGTTACGCAAACACACGAGCACTTCATATATGAGTGCAGCTTTTGAGTTTCATATTGCCTTAGTCTAGCGCCACGAAGCATGCAATGTTTTTGCTGCTGCCGCGAACTTTGGCAGCTTCCACTTGCTGATCTCTTTTTTATGTTTAATCAATTCAAAAGCAGCTACACAAACACACATAGTTGTTGTTGCCCTCGGTTTATTGGTGCGGCACGTACTTCAGCTGAGAGTTTGCTTGTGGGTGGTTGGAATACTAGCGGGGCGCTGGAAATATCCTCGAGTACGTTGAAAATCAACTTTGGCGCGTAATTATTTCAGCATTAAGCCAAGAGCTGCAACAGCAATAGACACAACAAGCAACAGGGAGGAGCAAGCAACTTTGAGCACAAAAAACAACAAGTCAACGAAAAAGTTGGGCATCAAATTTTGCCCCAATCCCGACCCAAGCAGCTCCCCGCACTTCAGTTCCGGCTCTAGTTTTTGTATCTTTCTCGGTTGGCAGAGGGGAATACTATAAGTGCTTTCAAGTCGACTTATTTCGCGCGCTTTCATCAGAGACGACTGCAAAAATACTTGTAATAAACAAAAGCATTACAAATATAATGTGTGCGGGTGGAGCGAGGCCGACTGGGAGATATCCTGTACCCCTGCATAATTATAATCTTGGACATCTACGTACTTAGGCTGAACAAAATAAGTTTAATATCGATATTTATCGATTTTAAAAATATCAGAAATAGGCACGAGTTGCGCATATTTACATCGAGCTACAAAGAAATGTCTTAGTATTAAAAGAAAGATTTTTATCGATCTAACAATTTTAATTAATGTTTAAGCTGACGAAAATAAATTGTATATCGATATTTATCGACTTTTTAAATCAGAAATTAACACGAACTTTGCTTATTATACTTCAAGGTAAGCAAAAATGTTTTGTTTTGTAACTTAAGAAAAAATTAGTATTGCATATCGATATTTATCGATTTTTGTCTGTGTGTCACGCATTTGCACAACTGTAAATACCCTAGTTATGTAATTTTTATTGGGTACACTGGGTATAAGAAATTATCTTTTCTGCTAATGCATGGCTTTTCTATTCATTTGCTTTTTTATTATTATTCTCTTATGTTTTGAAATAAGTATTTTGTGATTCTTTTTTATGTGAAAAGTGGCAAATTAAAAGCATTTTCATGCCCAAAAACAATAGACCATTCAATGGGCCTGCCTTTGCGCGCCTGATTGCCCAAATGCGGCTTTGGGTTTCGGATGCTTTCAGCTCATAATGTGGCCAGTCGGAGCCTGTGTGTGTGTCCTCCAACCCCCCCCCTCCTCCTCCACGGGCAGTTATTTAAGCCAATCGTCTGAAGAGGACTCGGCGACAAGAATGCAAGATACACATTCAACTCGAGCCACATTATTTACATACTCGTAATATTTGCCTTGAAGTCGGGCAAAGCTTTTGTGCATTTCCCTTATTGGCATGGAAGTGAAACACTAAACCTTTTATGGGGCACTACGTCCGAACAAAAGCCTTTAAAATATTCATAGAATTGCTTTAATAACGCCAAATGAGCAGGACCGGGCCGGGCCGGGCCAGTGGCCAAGTCGTTCAGTCAGCTATCAAATTGACTCTATCTATTGATGGGGTAGGCTTTGCGGCTCCACACAGGTTATGCGGCAAGCAAAAAGCAATTTTTATTTACCCCCAAACAAAACGTTCGGTGGGACAAGCTGGGAAGTTGACTGATTGGCGCAGACGGGCAACAACAACAACTGTAGACAGTTGTGTGGCGTCCATCTCAAGATGTGGCGCCCGAGCAGTTGGTATGCAAATCAGAGGGTGCGCCAGGACGACGACGACAACGTCGGCGACGACGACGACAGTCGAGCAGGAAGTTGATTAAATGACAAAATAAATAGAAAGTGAAGGATAATGTCAACATTCTAAGTGGTTTTCTTTTAAAAAGCTTAACTGACAATGAACCGCAGGGCAGTCAACGAGCGACCGCCGCGCCGCGTCTCCAGTTTGAATAAATTATTTTTTGTGACTGGCGGCCAGAAGACGCGACGAGCGTTGCGGCGAATGAAACTCGACCGATGTTGCCCAATACCGACCCCCCGCCCGCCTCCTTCGCCGTCCCCCTTCCGCAAGGCTTTGACTTGTGCCCTGTGTTTGCGCGGTTGCCCGGCAGGAAATTGACTTTGATAGTGCATGAAATTTGATGATATCGCCGCGTGCTGAAATTATTTCACGTTTTCCTGATTTTCATTTCATGTTAAGGCAGAGCCTTAAATGAAATACATAAAATGTGGGAATGTTTTGTATGAGAAAAATTATATATTTTATATTATTACAAGGCAATAACTTACACAAGGATTGGCAGAGGACTGCCTATATCCTCCAATCGTGTGCCCACTCCTTAAATGCAAGAAACCGAACAATGAGTTTATGGCAATAAATTCTGTTTTTCAAACTATTTTCAACAATCTCAGCATTTACGAGCTGTACTTTTCTCACATATCTGCATAACACTAAGGCAGATGTCTAAAAGGGTATTTAGATTCGGCGACACGAAGACATTCTTAATTTCTTGCTTTTGAATTCAGATTTTTGTATGTTGTTTCATAAGGAATTACTAAAAAAATTGGAAAGCCACTTAACTACACCCATGAGATAGGCTGAAGCTCGATCTCGGCACCTCAGCTGCCTTAGCGACTATCTCACTACGAAAACGCATCGAACCAACAACCAACAACTCATCCAAGAACTGCCAGCCCCTCCCTTTTTGTATACACACTTTAATTGCATTTTATAAACTTTTGCAAATGAACTTTCCAGTAAATGTACGAAGAGATATTGCGGCAATTGTCGTTGTGCTCTTGTGTTTTAGGCACTTGTAATTTTTTGGCACTGCTCCTAATTGGTTTTGAGGACTGCCGCGATGTGTCAGCATCCGGCGCTTTGATATACTGTCCAGAAAAAATGGCGGCGACACATGTGCATCATTAAGCAACTGGCCCAGCGCCAGCTAACACTCCACAGACGGTGTGAGATGTGCCAGCAGAAAGGGGCTAAGCAAGTCGCATATGGCCCACTTGCAGAAAGAACAAAGTAAAAATGTTGCACTTAGAAAGAGGTTCGACTGGAAGATACCTACTGTACCTACTGTAACAAGAGACCCAAGCTGTCTCTGATGCCTTTTAATGGAAATTGAGGTGACAAATAATTTTATACATTTTTAAATGTAAAACTAATTGACTTACTGATTGATTGATTGAATAACTAACTGATTGACTGACTGACTGACGCACTAATTAAATGACTGGTTGACTGAACGTCTTACTCACTGACTAACTGACTGACTGATTGAATGACTGACTGACTCTCTGATTGACTGAAAGCCTGGCTGACTGAGTTAAAGAACGAATCACCATTTGACTGACTGACTTAACAAATGACTGAATGATCGACTGACTGACTAATTAATTGACAGACTGATTAACTGACTGACTGATCTGATTGCCCGTCCGACTAACTGATTAACTGACTGACTCAGTGAATGACTTACTAGCTGATTGACTGACTGGATGGGTGATGGACTGTGAAGTGTCTTTAAGACGGAAAAATTCTGTGTGAAAACTAGTAGTGCTCCGAAATGCGAGCAAAAAATACCCTGTTTGGGAAAGGTCGGTTTAATATTGAAATATTTCTCTCGAGATTAATCACATCTCAATCTCTCAACATAGCTTGCTTTGCTTTTGGCTGCAGGGTAGAATGCTTTGACCTGAGCGCTTTTAAGGTCAAACAGCTGCTGATAGCAAATCTGCAGCGACTGCTCAGTTCGATCGAAGCTCAGTTGCTTGCGAGATTCAAACTGAAATCGAACGTGTGAAAAATATGAAATTCTTGGCACTTTTGGCGCTGCTTCTGATCTGGCAAAGTTCTGAGCTGGGCAATGCATTACCCAACGGTGCGTAGATTTGCTAACAAGCAAACAAACTTCAAAACAAATAATAAGCTGTTAATATATATTTCAGGTGAAGTCACTTCGTCACCGCCGGCAACACACACCGAAAACCTCAAGTTCAGTCCACGCCTTCTGGTGACGCCCGCTAATGTCACCGATAATCCAATTCAGGACACTGAGAATCCGGTTCGACTGGCACGCAAATTGCTGTTGGAATTGAGGCTATACAATCTGGTGGACGAGGTGGTGCAGGCCAAGCATATAACCGATACATATGGCAACGGGCTGCTCTTCGAGATGGCCAACCCGCTGCAGGTCAACGAAGTGGTGCAGGCCTGGCTCGATCCACCCGGAGAACTCCCCAAGAAGCTGCATGTTGGACAGGTCCTACGCGATTTCTACTAAGCACAGATATCGGATCGGATGTAGCATAATAAATTTGAAATTGTATACCAATAAAGCTGAGAGAAAGCTGCACTTTTTCTCTCGTACTCTCACTTGTTATATCTGCCAGTGTGCAATATATATGTTTATGGAGAGAAAAGAAAGGGCGAGTGTGAGAAAGAGAAAGTGCAGAGAGAGAGCGAAGACTGTGAGCTCGAATGGTTATCAAATAATTGCGTTAGCTTATTTCATGAAAAGAATTTTTCTTTCATAATATTGCTGATTATGTGTCATTCCACGGTTTATTGCGAATAATGCGTGGAAAGCTGTAGGTAAATACTTTTCACATGTGATTAAACTAACTTTTAAATGCTTTGAGAACATTTTCAGTTTAAATTTAAGCATATGCAATTATATTCCTTATCCGATCACCTTGAAACTAATTTTAATTGGCGTGCATGTTAAACTTATCGACATGCTTTGGAAATTCCAAATTTAATAGTTTGCAGCACTTTTGCTAAATAATTGAGTAAAGCTGAAAAAAAGGAGGACAAAGCAGAGCACTTTGTGCGCACAAAGCGCGCTTAAAAGCAGCTGCTAGTCGAACAATATGCAGCTGAAACTAGAGATTATGCCACGCCCACCTGCCTAGAAACAGGCCACATTTGCTCACTAATGGCGGGAGCATTCAACTAAAATGCTTACGACATAATCATATGCTTAACAATTCATATTTTCCTCAAGGGCCGCATGGAGCGAGGAGGGGGATGGGGTATGGGTGGATTGACGGAACGTAATATGTACGAGACAATCGGATTTCATGCTCATCATGATGATGTTCATGAGCGGGGACGGGGGGAAGGGGGCCTAGGAGGCAGCTTGGTGGGAGATTTGTGTACCATTTTTTGTGTTAACCCTACGTGAAATCATAGAGCAAGCTATAACTAACTGGATCTTGGGGGTGGGCTAGTGGGTGGTTCGGTGGGGTTTGGGTGGTTTTTGTGTGGGAGTTTGATGCTTGTCAAACAAATTATAAGCCGCTGTCGCGCTGCCAGCCGCAAACTCAAGTTGCCAAGCGAAAGCGGTTTATGTAACTGTTCTTGCTGCTGACGGTTGTTGTTGTTGTTGTTGCTGTTGTTGTTGTTGTTGTTGCTGTGGTTGTTGCATGCAGTTGCTGCTGCCAAGTTGTCGGCCCTGTGGGCGGCTCAGGGGCTTAAGACTAATCCGCATATGGAAAATTATATAATATGCATGAGAATTTCAGGCAGATACAAGCGAGTGTGCGGGCGTGTGTGTGTGTGTGTGTGTGTGCGTGTGCCTGGATCGACTTCGGATGGATGTGGACTAATGCTGACAAAGCAATTTTCACAGTGACACATTTTCAGGCTCACATACACACACACACACACACAACTAAATAGCGAGGGCTGCCTTTGCAGTTGTAATTCAAGCGGACATACAATAACTGTTAAGCTCTAGCATCTTTTAAAATCGAGACACGCCCACAATTGCTTCCCAGACAATTCTGTAAAATCTAGATAAATTTGAGGCACACAGTTTAAAAGCCACTGCCTTGGGCTTGCAGTTTTGCAGTCAACAACTAAATAATCAAAATAAACAGGATAAACTCAGCTTAAAATAGATGGAAATAGATTTCTAGATAGAATACATATATTATATATTTTCTATAGATTTCTATTTCCATCTATTTTAAGCTGCTTTAAGCCTGTCAAAAGAGTATTATGCAGTCGGCTTGCACTTGTTTTAATTACTTAACGCGCTACATAAAAGGCAACCCTCGTTTAAGGATACATGTGCTGTGCACACATATATTGTGTATGTTGTGCGTGTGTGTGTGTTTGTGTGTGTGTGCACTTTACTTTTTCGAGTGTAATTTATTTGCAACATGCACACACACAAACACACCCGAATAAATATAAGCATAAATAATAAAAGCATATTAGTGTACATTTTAATTCGTTTTTATTAAAATGCGCGCAGGTAAAAAGCGTTGCCAGCGGAAAGGGGGGTGGGGGTGGGGGGTGTGGCAATGGGAGGGGGGGGGGGTTTGTTAGCTGGTTTGTTTGGTTTGCGGCTGTCGGACGGGCGGACGGACGCGCTGAAGTGCGGAAGACGCACTTACATCAGTGCACAATTTTTACATTTATGTGCAGAGGGAGAGAGGAAGGAAAATAGAGAGAGAGAGAGAGAGAGAGAGAGAGAGAGAGAGAGGGAGGGAGAGAGGCAGCTTGATGAGGGCAAGCTGAAATGCATATTTCACTCTTCATACGCCCCGTGTGCCGTCGTGGGAAATTAAAATAAAAGCCAAACACACACAATGCACACACACACACACACACACAGCACATACACTCAGCACACACGCACAACGCACACACACACACACACATGTCTGCAATGCAATTTTTGACTTTTTCCGGCATGTCCAAAATGCGCAATAAAAATATATATTAAAAAAAAAAAGGCGAAAGTTTGGCACTCGCTGGCGAAAGGCAAGTGAATTGCGGTTTGATGGATTTTTATATTATTTCACTTATTTTCTTTTCGTTTTTTTACCCTTTTTCACATTCCACATTTAACGTACCTGGCTAAAATGTGTAAATTGCCGCTTGCGCAATTTTTGCCAGCTGAGCGAGTTCTGTTTGTTTTTTATAATACCCTTTCATACATTCAAAATATATTAAGACTAGATTAAGCACGACTGTCTTCCGTTTTAGTAAGACTAAAGACAGTACAAAGAAAATATTACAATTTAGGTACTATTTGTTTAGGACTCATGTGCAGCGTGATCAGGGCTTAAGGTCTAATATGCCGGTCCGTAGGAATTTGACTGCATCCATGTATATTTGGGCAGATTTTTAGATCTGAGAGAACATTATGGCTCTTGCTTCCCTTTACAGAATCTGCCTGTGTCTGAGATTGACATATCTGAGGATACGCTCTGTATATTGAGCTTATCTCTAGGGTACAATAAGTTGGCTTATAAAGATACATAGATCGTCTTTTGTTCAATTTCAAAAGTCGCATGGAGATTTTATATTCTTAGGGAACCTTTTGCCCTACCCAGGGTAGAAAAAATTAGCTTCAGGATATGTATATCATTCTTTTTTGAGGCTTTCAAATTGCATGTATGGAACCTTTTACAAACTTTGTTAAGATTCATAAGCCGCATGGAGTTTCTATTATTTCTCCAATCTGCGTTCTTCCGAGACGTTAACAGTCACGCTAAGGGCCGATTTGTGGCCTATTTACTAATCGTTTAACTAGGATATTGTCCATTTTGTTACCAGCATGCTGTTCATGCCCAGCAACCCATCCCACAAGATGGATCTGGAGTGCTCCACTAGGCTCAACCTGGCGAATAAGCCAATCTAAGCCAAACTTATTGCACACTACCTAAGCTAGTGCCTTGGTCTGGCTATTCAATTTAAATTGGAAGCAATTTTTGTGCATACTAGGAGCTGTCTGCTCCTAGTCAAGCCTGCCAAGTAATCCAATCGAAGGGAGTAATATTTCGGATGAAGATGGGCTCCAAAAATCGTGCATAGCAATTGTGCACTCTCTTAATCTGAGCATTATTACCTTATTAAAATTGCTGCTGCAGTTAAAAGCGTAGCCACAAATGTAGCCTGATTATCGAACGTAATTAGACTGACAAACGGAAGTATGCGCTTTATACGTTTAACTTGAGGTGCAGGGCATAAAATTTGCTGCCAAGTGTGGCATGAAATAAGTGCACGATATATTCATAAATTATGCGCCTTTCATTGCCAATTAGAAAATCCTGATTGCCAGCCGCACACACACACACACACACAGACACACACAGACACACAGACATCGCCTGCAGTCGCTGGCGACAAAAGGAAAAGCGCCACGCAGGCAGCCACAAGGCAACCCCAAATGAAGCCAATTAGTTGACGTAATGCTAACGACGATGCTGGGCTTTCGCTGAGAGGGAGTTGAAGAAAATGGAAAAGCGGGAAGGGAGTAGGGGACAGTTTTTGAACTGCCTGCAAAATGGAAACATTTGAAGCTAGCGTCAGCCTGTTCCAGTCACTCCCCCGCCCACCCCGCCTGCTGTCTACCTGTGTGTAGCTGGGGTGCCAGCTCGCTTCGAGTGGCTAATTAATACGCCCCGTTGCACCAAAGAGTGACACAACTAGCCACGCCCCAGAGCCAGAGTCAGCACCCAGCGTCTGTAATGAGCGTTCCGAGTTAATTGGCGTGTAAGAAAAGGTAAAAGGCAGGCTGCAAAATTTAACAAAATTTCATGCTTCTCCAAAGGACATTAATTAGAAGTAATTGCCGCGCGTCTAATGAGCTTGTTTTTTTTTCTGCTCCTTCGACTTACGATCTAATTTATAACCCGTCAATAGTGCGCGAAGAGCTCACGCCCCCAGCTCGTTATAATAGGCCGGCAATCAACTCATATTTCATGGCATGTTCGACTGTCATTTGGAGCGGAGCGAAATTGAAACGCGAAAAACAATCAAAACTTTCACGTTAGGCAAATCAAATTGCTAGCTACCCGGAAAAAAAAACAGCAGCCCGAACGCAGCACAAAATATCGAACGGCAAAACTTGTGCACACACTTCTATACTTCTATGCATATTTTTATGCAACGCCCACGAGGCACACTACCTGCAGCCCCGCCCGGAGATTACAGTTTGGGGGCTACCTGATATGCTCTATAGGCCTCACACTCCAGTCCCCAACAACAACAACAATAGCACAAAATAGACCGCCCATCAGTTTGGGCTGCCTTTGTTTTTATGCGATTTCAATCAATGAAACAACAACAATAACAAACTGGAATTTTACAGTCGAATGTTATCGACTTGGGTAGATACTTTGTATACCCTAACATTTTCTGCAACATTTTTTCACTTAAACGTATGTGAGCTCAAAGAATGCTTAGGTATCGATATTTATCGATTTTGACTTATAAAATCGAAGCTATATAGAAAATACAATAAATTTGACCGTTGCGAGAAGCTACTTTCCAAGTTTTGGGTACTTTAAGATATACATTTGCGGCATTTATGTCAAATATACAAAATTAAGTTAAATTGTCTATCGATACTTATCGATCAAT